TCTCTCTATCTATCTATCTATCTTATCTATCTATCTATCTATCTATCTCTCTCTCTCTCTCTCTCTCTCTCTCTCTCTCTCACACACACACACACACACACACACACACACACACACACACATCAACAAGGGAAACAAAAGAAAGGAAAACAGATTTTTTTTTCCTGGCTTAGCCAAAATACTTGAAAAATTGCAGGTATGTAGCTTAGGTCAATTGTTTTCAAAAATAATTCCGGTGCTTAATTTCTTTTCGCGGGTGGACGCGGACAAACTTCCCCCTTCCACGCCCCCCAAGCATTCGGCAGAATGGCTGGATGTTCGGGATGGGGGTAGACCGCTCTTCCTCCCCAAACGTTCAGGGGATCAACACTGATTGCCAGCACAAAGTTGGGGGGAGAGGGTGGGGGGTGGGGAGGGGGAAGAAAAAGAATAGAACGCAGACAGTGACAGAAACCTCAAAAGACCACAAGAACCTGGCACCTCAGTATAGTCTCGGTCTATGCAAACCAGGCCAATGACTCCTTAGACATTTAGCCGAACCTCCCATCACATTTAGCCAAACCTCATTTCCCACCCTAAACTCTACGCACTCTCTCATGCCCTCTGATGCATGCTGCAGTGGCCAAGCGCAGCTGAATGTACAATTAAACTATGTTACCGGTCTGTACACTCTCCTAGCATCCGTGCGGACATCTGTGGATTGGGTCATGCAAAAAAAATCCGGATCCGTTTAAAAAAAAAAAAAAAACTGGGAAAAAGTATGTTATGCACCATTTCAATACAAACAACTCCTTTTTTTTTTTCTTTTTTTTTTTAAATCATGGTCCTGGCTCCTTCTATTCTGGGGAGCGTCAGTCCAGTTCCTAACACAATACAAACAACTTCTGCCTGGGAGTTATCTTCAAATTCCAAGTGCAAGGAACATGAGCGAGAGCGATAGACAGAATTCCAAATTCCAAAATCAAGCTGCAGCCCAGATAGTTGTGTACCAAGCAGAAAGCACAATGCACCGAGTTATCAGCCAAATAAGAGCAATAAAATGAACTCGAACACAATGTCGACACTCTCTCACCACATCAACATGGTATTCACCATCGCTCTTCTCGATCGGCGCTCAGCGCCCAGCCCATCTACTCAGCACCTATACTAGCCTGCACTACGTTCATGCATAGGAATCGCTTTGATGTCGAAGACCAATGTACGTGACAACATCGCCAATGCAGACTGCCAGCATACACCAGGTACGTGTCTCTCTCTCCTCTCAATTCACCCCTTGACTTCCCACAGTGTGCATCCCCAACACCCGAGTGCAAGGATTATGAGCGGGAGCGATAGACAGAAAACCAAGTTGCAAAATCACAAAGTAGCCCAGATAGTCGTGTACCAAGAAGAGAGCACAATGCACCAAGATATCATGCAAATAAGAGCAATACAATGAACTCTTGGGTCAATGTCGCCACACTCTGGTCACACCAACACAGTTTCCACTGTCCACCCCTACCGTCCGGTGCTCGGCGCCCAGCCTACTCAACTCAGCCTATCTAGCCTATCTACGTTCTCACAACCAGATCACATCGCAGTTGAAGACCAATGTACGTTGACGTCATTGCCAATGCCGACCGCCAGCATAGACCAGGTACGTGCTCTCTCCTCCCCTCATCACCCCTCGACTCCCCCTCTGCATGCGCTTCCTACCGAAGACCACCATTGCCACCACCTGCACCCGCACGCTCGGCCCGACTATGGCCGCCGTGCGCCCACTGCCACCGCAGTGCCCTCTTCACCACTTAGCGCCCGCGCACGCCCCAGCCAGCCTGCATAGCACAGCTTCGCACGAGAATGCAGCAGTGTGACCGCAATGCCTGCACAGGCCAGAATGTCCCCCCACTGGGACACACACTTTCCTTTATGGAAAGTGTGCCTGCTGCTGGCTGACCTGGCCAGGCGTGTGGGGGCCCCAGTAGCTGGCATCTGGGCTCAAGTGTCTGCGCCCAGGCACAGTTTCAGATAATGGCCTGGGCCTCGTGCAGTTAGGCACGTTCAGGCAGCCACCCAGCCTCCAAGTGTTCACAGCATTCTCATTGGCTCCCGGCTCATGTGTGACGACAATGCTGCTCTCTCATTGGCCCGCGGCCAGTCCATGATGCGTTGACCTCACACAGCGCGTGCCCAGGGCGCAACCACCTGAGCCCTGGGCTCAACTGTACAGCGCAGCCCTTGCTTCTGGAAAGAGCCTGGAGGCTCACGTTGCTCTGTAACCAACTGGCGTGCTGCAACTGTCTGAATCCCCACATATGGAAAAATGTCGAAAACAGGCCTCTCGTGGATATTCAGGCCCGCCTTCACTTAGGGCGGGCACAGGCTTGTTAGGGGCTGCAGCCCAGAACACTTGTATGTCTGATAAGGGCCCCTGGAGGGCTCATTCCTCGCACAAGGACCACCATCATCATCACCAGCCTCCGCTGAGCAAGCCCGGCTATGGCTGCTCAGCGCCCACTGCACCAGCAGCGCCCAACACCACAATGTGCCGGTGTGCGCACATCTTCCAGCCCTTGGCCTACCAGCGGCCTCCAGCGCTCAAACCAGCAGCGCTGCCGCCAGCAAGCACACGGCCAGAATGAGCTCTGGCTTCCATGCTCACTTTCCTTTATGGAAAGTAAGCTCTGCTTTGTCGAGCTCTGGGCCTGGCTGGACAAGTTTCCAGTAGCTTCCAGTCGGGCCCCAGTGTCTGCATTCAGGCCCCCGGTTGCTGTAATGGGCCTGGGCCTTTACAGTTGGGCACGCCCAGGTAACCCACAAAAGACTACAAGTGTTCGCCTTGATCTCATTGGCTGCTGGGCAGTGTGTGACGAAGATGCTGCATTCTCATTGGCCCGCGGCCGTTCTGTGATGTGTCGGCCTCTAGTGGCTCACGCCCAGGGCCTCAACTGTACGTGCCTGGGCTCAACTGCCTCTCGAGCTGCTGCTTCCAGAAGAAGCCAGGGAAAGGCTCACGCTACCATGTAACCAACTGGCATGCCGCAACTGTCTGATACCCCACATGGAGAATTTGACAAAAATAGGCCTCTCGTAAATATTCTGGCCTGCCTTCCCATAGGGCGGGCACAAGTCTGTACAAGGCCTCAGCCCATATGTGGGGTGAGCCTTCCGAGGGCGGGCCCGCCTTCCCATAGGGCTTTGACGCATATTGCCAAGGCCGCCTTCACTTAGCGCGGGCAAGGCCTTTTCCTGCACTTCCGAGGGCTCAAATCCTCCCAGAAGCCAATTTTGAGTTGAAACTAAAAAACTGAGAAGACTAGAAATTTAATCATGGCTAAACCTGCCCTGGACACTGGACCAATGGGGACATTTGGCCGGGCCTATGTCCGGATGGCTCGGGATCATCCGGATGCACCACGCCCAGCGAAAGATTTTTGTATTGCAATGTGGCATCACATATCGTTTTTTCAGATTTTTTGTTTTTTTTTATTTTAGTCGTATTTCTCAGGGTGGGGAGGGCAGATCCGGGTGCTCTGGACCGGACCTCTGACCTGGACATTCGGACCCAGACCGCCCGCACTGCGATCCAGACATCCAGATCGCAGCCATGAATTCAATACAAACTAGAAGAAAAAAAATTGTGCTGGGTCCAAACATGTGGCTCTGTACCGGGATGTCTATACAGACATTCCAGATGACTAAAAGTGCCCCGGACGTCCAGGCTGGCTACATAGCAATTAAGAGCTCCACATATGTAGTCGCAATAGTCTGTAATATTATGTGACCTACCTCGTTTCTATTTCTCAATTTAAACTCCTGATTTCTGGATGATTGGTATTGGATTAAATTAAACAAGGTAGATCGAGTGTTTGGATGGTGTCTCGCTCAGATGGTACCACTCCATTCCTGACTGATATTCTCAAAAGAGTACGAGAATTTCTGGCATTATACCTACTCGTCTCCTTGTGCTAAAAAAAAGCTTAGATTTTATATCTGCTTATATGGAACTTTTGGATAGTGTCTCGCTCAAGATGGTACCGGTCCATTCCTGACTGACATTCTGAAAAGAGTAAGAGAATTTCTGACACTTACAACTTGACTCCTTGTCCATATGTAAAGCTTACATTTCGCTTATATGGAATTTATTTCTCAATCATCTAATACTACGTATAAAGCTTAAGAGTTAATGTATGTGCAAGCTGGCAGCTCATGGTAAATAGCATACGTATCATCACATATCTATCAAAAGAAAGAGCGCACTTTGGTGAAACAAATGAAAAAAGAAAAGACAGCCTGAAGCATTTATGTCCCATCTCATTGTATTCTTTCTTTCCTTCTTTCTTTCAGCTCTTTTTCATGCAGGAAAAACCTCTGAGATACTACGAGATGGACACCACTGGCATTACGTCTGAGCTAATCTTGAGAGAACCTAACCCTGCAGCCCATTGTCTCTTGCCACAACATGGCACTGGTAGGGCCTCCCCATTACAGTGGAGTGACTGGAGTGAACCATAGGTCAGCAACAAGTAGTTATCACCCAGGGAACATAGATAGCAGAGACAGGAGTGAAGCTGATGGTGGGGACAACAATCGCATCGCGCATCAACGTCAATGGATACTTCCTCAAACCCTCAAAATTATTATTCGCAACACAATTTGGACAAAAGTCGCATAATTTGTTCCCAACACAATTCGCCAGTTGTCAGGTTGAATGTCTTGTATGCATGTCGGTTTAATCACAGCAACCCCCACATTTCCGGAGGGCCATCTACAACCTAATCTTTTAAGAGGTCCATCTAAGGAGGGAGACAACATGCCCTGATACCAGAAACATCAGTGTCAGGAAAATTCACATGTGACCTTCTGAACATTATCACCTGTGCCCTATCAACAGAGGTCCAGGGCCCAAGGTCCCAAGACCCATGCACCATAAGTATCAGTCCGGTAGTTAGGCAGGCCTAGTTTAGTCCGTAGGCCGATAGGTTAGTACTTCAGTCCGGTACAGTCCAGCCCAGTACAGTGCAGTACAGCACAGTCAGCAGCACAGAAGTCACATGAAAGTCAGTGAATGTTCCGGATGCATCAAAGGCTGACCGCGGCCAGCATGGGAGTGTACCGGTAGGGAAAGTCAGACGTTAAGCAGGTAAACTGTCGCATACAAAACCACAGAAGCAGTGGGTGTCAACATTTCCAGTCGTGTGTTGCAATATTGTGTGACAAAATGTCAAGTAAGGCTGGAGTGAGACAGTCGAGAAGCTGCCATCGGCAGGCACAGGGAGCCATAGCTGCAGTAGAGAGTGCAAGAGACACAGAGATTGAGGAAGACATCCAGAGAGGAAGAGAGGCCTGAGGGGAGAGAGAGAGAGAGAGAGAGAGAGAGAGAGAGAGAGAGAGAGAGAGAGAGAGAGAGAGAGAGAGAGAGAGAGAGAGAGAGAGGGAAAGCAAGTTCATTTAGGGATGTTGTTGCTGGCGGCCATAGCCGTCCAGCCTGTGTAAACAACTTGTTGTATACAACTTCAATCTCTGACTAATTTTTGAAGTACTCATATCTCATGTTCGGCTTTCTGGGTGTGCACCAAAGAGAATAGAAGGAAGGCTTAGAGGGAGTGAACTATGAAGTAGAGAAAAAAGACAGAGGGGCAGGTGAAACGGTATTTAACGCTACAGGTAATCATATGGTATCACATACCATTGAACACCATACAACAAATTGGAAGCATATTTATGGCCAGCGCGATGGCAGAAGCTCCAAAGAAGAGAGCTGAATGACTCCCCTGTATTCTCTTCGTGACATACTGGACAGCAAACCCTTCGTATGCAAAAAGGAGGAGGACGGACAGACATAGAAGCGCCATAACAGCACCTGTGATTCCACACCAACACATTGTCGGCACACATGAATTTGGTGGCACATATGAATTTGGTGCAAAAAGCCTGATTCATAGGTGTGACACACTGGACAGCAACCCCCTCGGATGCCAAAAGGAGGATTCGACAACCATACAAGCGCCATTACAGCGCCACACACACACACACACACAAATTTGGTGGCACATATGAATTTGGTGCAAAAAGCCTGATTCATAGGTGTGACACACTGGACAGCAGAGCCCACTCGCATGCCAAAAGGAGTATTTGACAACAATACAAGTGCCATAACAGCGACACACAGACACACACACACACACACACACACACACACACACACAGCCAACAATTGCACATTATGGCCACATAAGAATTTGGTGCAAAAATTTTAACTCGTGTGTATTGTAGACACATATGAACTGGGTTGAAAATGCCCAATTCGTACACATTTTAGGCACAGAAGAATTGGGTGCCAAAAGCCTAATTCACGCATGCTATAGGCAGAAATGAATTTGGTGCACAAAGACTAATTCAGTGGTGTTGCAGCCATACACGCCTTTGGTGCAGAAAGCCTGAGTCATACGTGTCATAAGCACATGAATTTGGTGCAAAAAGCCTACTTAATTCAGAAGTGCCATACTAGCCAACATCTGAATTTGCCGGTGCAAACCTTTCCTCTGGGCAAATGTTGACTTCGGCGAATGTGAAGGGAGCAGAAAAGAGAACTGCCGCAGGGCACCTGCTGTTCCACAAAAAAAAACAAATTGCTGATGCAGAGGAGAGTTTGCCGCAACAGCACAGTCAAAGAACCGTTGTTTGTTGACAGCCAGTGAGGAACTTTGAACTGGCCAAAGTTCAAAATACCAAAAGAAATGCAATTCTTCCTTTCCTCTTTGTTTTTTGGAAATCTGTCCTAGACTCCTATTTTTCAATTCGGTACAACCGAAAGCACCAAAAGAAGAAAATGAACTCATTTTCTCTTTGCTTTTTGCAATTTTGGATTATACTCCTACTTTAACAACAGCAAGCCACCAGCAGCTCCCTGGGGCAAGGTCCCGCATCCCTGGGTTGTTCAATCTGGTGCCTAGATCACAACAAGGAGTGACGGTCAGAAAGCGCACAACTTGAGTAAGGGCAAACTCACGCTAGCACTTTCTAGATGAGTGCAATTACGGGGACATGGATGCATCTGACCATAATCACATCCGGAGCTGAGTGGAAAAACTGTTTGTGTGAGTAATGCCCTAAGTCAGACCTCTGGCCTGGTGGACTTATCAAAAATCATTTGTATCCATCTGTACATACTGGGTGGAATGCTGTACAAACGCTAACTAGCATTAGGTACTTTTTCGATAGAGGGAAAAGACAGACACAGAGAGAGAAAGAGAGAGAGAGAGAAAGAGAGAGAGAGAGAGAGAGAGAGAGAGAGAGAGAGAGAGAATCAAAAGATGTGAGAGACAGAAAAGTCACTGTCAAGCGAACAACTACAAGGTCCGGTAGTCTCCGAACCACCAGAAAATACTGAGAGTCAATTAGGTTTCACAATCGAACATTTCTCTTTCAAGCTTAAACATAAAAATCGGCTATTTCTGTTTTTTGCCCTTGGATTAATTCAAGGAAAATGGAGAGAGGAAGTGGCTATATACTTCGCAATAAATGAGGCATGAAGCTGCACTGACATGAAGAGAAGGAGAGTCACATAAGTAGGAGTCCTGCCCAAAAAAGCAGTGAGGCAGACAATGAACGGGTGGGTGGTTCATACATACACTCAGAAGTTCTGCGGCCGGGAGGCGGTGGGAAGTAAGAGAACTTACGCGAGCTCTGCCATTTTGTGCTCTTCCACAAGAGTAACGCATACGTGGCAAACACCACAGCTGGACCGCAAAGGATCAGCGCATATTCAACCAGCTTATGGTGTTTAATTTGATCGCCAATCTCACACCCCCATGCGGGTGGCAGAAGAGCCGGGGACACCACTATTGCAACACAAATAATGGTGGTTGCAAATGCAAGCGGCTCCAGTTGGGGTCCGAGAAGCCACCGTGGCCAATTCTTCCCATAAATCCAACTGCCAAAAAGGTTAAAACAAGAAAGGAGAGAAAAATAACACCAGGGCAGGTGGGGAGAGGGAACGACATATTAGCACAAGCACCGATCAAAATACATTTGCAGCGGAGGGAAATACCCTACAATGAGCCCATCAGTCATCAGAAGCTCCAAGCACCGACCAACCATGCAAGTATTCCCACACACTCAGATGGAACCATTTGCAAAGCAGAACAAGTCCAGAATCACTCAATATAGTCACAGAATAAGCAGCGAGTCACCAGACGATAGACAAAGGTAGAGAAGCAATGGAGGGAGAGAGAGAGGATAAATTCAACTGTTCCGGGCTAACCGAAGTCATTTTGCAGGCTTAACTTCTTTTTTGGGGGTAATTCCCATGCTCATAAAGTCTGTGCCTGCCAAATCTCATGCCAGTCTCACGGACAGGAAAAAAAAAAAAATCACAGAAGAAACGGGGATCAAACATATTGCGTAGCCCCCCATTTTCTCTTCTTTTTCTTGGATTCTTCTCCTTTCTTTTCTTTTCCTTTTTTTAGTCTCCTTTATCAATCAATCAATCACTCAATCAATCACTCACTCAATCAATCAAACAATCTCTCTCTCTCTCTCTCTCTCTCTCTCTCTCTCTCTCTCTCTCTCTCTCTCTCTCTCTCTC